GTAAGCGTGTTCAATACTTTTTCCCTGTGCCATTCCACATTATTACGAATAACTTCATTTCTGGACATTTATGGTTTGATTTCTTTGTATGTATGGATCACTTGGGTTGTTACCGACATCAGATCACGCTGATTCACACCAGCAGATTCACGCTTTTATTTCTTCTTGTTTAGATTACTGCAACAGTGTCTAAACAAATCCTCCTTGACTCGGCTTCAGTCTGTGCAGAACGCTGCAGCGAGGTTATTAACAAAGACCCACAGGAGAGCCCACATTACACCTGTTTTATCCTCTCTGCACTGGCTCCCTGTGCATTTGAGGAGTCATTTTAAAATTTTAGTTTTAACTTTCAGAGCACTTCATGGTCAGGCTCCCAAACACATACTGGACCTTCTGAATCCTCTCTGTCCATCCAGGACTCTGAGGTTTTCTAATCAAATGCTGCTGGTGGTCCCTGGAACCCATTATAAAACCCGTGGAGACAAAGCTTTTCAGGTGGTGGCCCCGAGGCTCTGGGATGCTCTCCCTCTGTCCCTTCGCTGCTCAGATTCTACTGACTCTTTTAAGAAACATCTTAAGACATTTTTATTCAGACAGGCTTTTAGTTAAGTGCTTTTTATTGTGTTTTAATTGTTGTTTTTATATCTGTGATCTGTTTTATTGTTTTTAATTAGTTTTTGCTTTCTGTGAAGCACTTTGCGATGTTTGTGCCTGTGAAAGGTGCTATAGAAATAAAGTTTACTTACTTACTTACTTACAGATGAAAATTTCATGCCATTAGCACCTCTAGTAATATATTTACTGAGAAAAATGGTGATGTGTTCAATACTTATTTTACCCGCTGTATATATATGGACACACAAATAGAGGTCTCTTCCTGTTGTTGTTGTTGTCCTGACTTTGCGCCACATAACTAAACTGAACTGAACAAATCTCTCTAGGCTTCCACTCGGGGGTCATTTAAACCTACACCTAAGCTGATTGCCAGTTTACAGCAATTCATAGCACCCACTCATTAATGTCAAATAACACTTTAACTTCCATCTTTCTCTGTGTGAGTCTTTCTAGGTTGAACTAATCATTATGGCCTTTAGAGAAAAAATTTTGGGGGGAGGTCACCTCCCAATAAATGCCATTTTAGAAATTCTAATTGCTCATTTTTACTCAGTACTTTAATACCTAAATACATTCTCTGCCAGAAAAGCAATTTTGATACTTAAGTACAGTAAATGTCAGATACTTTCACCCAAGTAATTTTATGGTACGATACTTCTACTTTTACTCAAGTATCACTTTTGAGGTACTTTTTACAACTCTGGGTGATTGTAGATGTCATCCTAAAATAAAGCCTGGGCGTAAATTCAGACTGGAAGACTCTCTCCACCTCACCTGCTCCACCCAGTCTCCACGTCAGGCTCCCAGCTGCAGTCAGTCAGTGTCAGATCCTCACCTCACCATACCAATCATCTCACAGGGATCCAGGTCTAAAGGCTCAGCACCCAAGGTTCAGTCTGCTCTCCTGACGCGTTCAACCCACCTCCACCCCTTCTCCACCTTCATCTCAGACTCTAACCCAGGCTACCCCTTCCCTCTGGCCTCCACACCACCACCAGTGTCCGAGCCCCGGGGGGGACGTTATTCCTAAAACCTGAGCTGAGTGCTAGCYCACAGTAGTTCGCTGCACCCACATCTTCAGCTGGGGCTCGAGCGCCAAAGAACTTTCTCATATCAATAAATCCGTTTAACTGACACATTTCTGTGTGTGGCTCTTTCCAGGTTAGAATAGAATAGAATAGAATAGAATAGAATAGAATAGAATAGAATAGAATAGAATAGAATAGAATAGAATAGAATAGAATAGAATAGAATAGAATAGAATAGAATAGAATAGAATAGAATAGAATAGAATAGAATAGAATAGAATAGAACCAGCCTTTATTGTCCCGCGCGGGGAAATTCAAGTGTAGCAGCAGCAGCAGCAGCAGGTACACACATCAATACACAACTATTTGACAATATCAATTATAGCAAAAAACAGAATAAGAATAATAATTACCGTACCAGACCATCAATGAGAAATTAGATAAAACTTGAAGCAGCTGTGCAGAAAGATATACAATTACAGGAAATTGCAGTCGTTACAGACTTGTGCGAAATGAGTTAAACCCAGTGTGTGCAAATTGTTTCAGTCTCAATCTCCAAATCCAGTGCAGGAACAAAAACAGTTCTTATTATTCATTATTCATTTATATTAATTTATGTACTGTACTAGGTATATGTACGTTGTTATATATCACAAGCATAGTGCTTTTTTTTGTTTTTCTTTTACTTTCCTTTCTTTATTCTTTTTCACCCTGTCCTGTTTTGAGCTGCTGTAATGTGCAAATTTCCCAACTGTGGGATCAATAACGTTTTATCTTTATCTTTATTTTAATTATATAATTATTATATTATTATTATTATAACAATTATTATTATTATCGGTTATTATATGTGAAATGATTTTAAGGTAGAGTTGTTTGATGTGCAAACACAAACATGGATGCTTATGATTGTTGCGAGCAGTGATGGTTATAGAGTCTAACAGCTGATGGGAGGAAGGATCTGTGGTAACGCTCTTTTGTGCATTTAGGATGCAGCAGTCTGTCACTGAAGGAGCTCTGCAGATCAGCTACAGTTCCATGCACTGGGTGGGAGGGGTTCTCTGTCATTCATGTTATTTTAGCCTGAGTTCTTCTGTCTCCCACCACCTGCACTGTGTCGAGGGGGCATCCCAGCACAGAGCTGACCTTCTTGATGAGCTTATCCAGCCGCTTCTTCTCAGCTGTAGATAAGCTGCTGCTCCAACAAACGATGCCATAAAAAATAGCTGAAGCCACAACTGTGTTGAAGAAGGTCTTCACGAGTGCCCCCTGCACTCCAAAAGACCTCAGCCTCCTCAGACAGTAGAGTCTGCTCTGCTTCCTGTAAAGAGTGTCAGTGTTGTGAGTCCAGTCCAGTTTATTGTTCAGGTGAACACCCAGGTCCACTAAGAGTCCACAATCTCAATGTCCACTCCCTGGATGTTCACCGGTGTCAGTGTGGTGGGTCTGCGCCTCCAGAAATCCACCACCAGCTCCTTGGTTTTAGCAGCGTTGATCAGGAGGTGGTTCCACTGGCACCAGTCCACAAAGTCCTGAGTCCACTGTCTGTACTCTGAGTCCTGAGTCCACTGTCTGTCCTCTGAGTCATCCTCACCTGTGATGAGGCCGACTTTGGCAGAGTCATCAGGGAACTTCTGCAGGTGGCAGTGTGGGGTGTTCATGGTGAAGTCTGCAGTGTAGAGGGTGAAGAGGAACGGTGCCAGCACTGTTCCCTGAGGAGCCCCCATACTGCAGACCAGTGTCTGAGACACACTGGTCTGCAGTATGGGGGCTCCTCAGGGAACAGTGCTGCAGACCAGTGTGTCCGAGACACAGCCCAGTGCCCTCACATACTGAAGGTGATCCATCAGGTAGTCCAGAATCCACTGGGACATGTGGTGGTCCACTCCAGACAGCTCCAGCTTGTCCCTCAGAAGTCCTGGCTGGATGGTGTTGAAAACACTGGAGAAATCAAAGAACATGATCCTCACAGTGCTTCCAGGCTGCTCCAGGTGAGTCAGAGTGCGGTGCATAAGGTAGAAGATGGCATCATCCACCCCGATGCCAGGCTGGTAGGCAAACTGCAGCAGATCTAATGAAGACCTCACCAGGGGGCGTAGATGGTTGAGGACCAGCCTCTCCAGAGTCTTCATCAGATGAGATGTCAGGGCTACCGGCCTGTAGCTGCTGAGGTCCTTTGGGTGTTTGGTCTTTGGTACCGGTACCACACATGAGGTCTTCCACAGTTGTGGTACTTTCCCCAGCTTCAGGCTCAGGTTGAACATTGTTTCCATGATGCCACTCAGTTCATCTGCGCAGCACCTCAGGAGCCTGGAGCTGATACCGTCTGGACCATAGCTTTACGCACCTTGATCTTTCACAGCTCATTTCTCACCTGGAGAGTTGAAAGGGACAAGATGGAGGTGGGKGAGGGAGACTGATGACTGGAGTCCTCAAAACAGAGGGAGACTGATGRCTGGAGTCCTCAAAACAGAGGGAGACTGATGACTGGAGTCCTCAAAACAGAGGGAGACTGATGACTGGAGTCCTCAAAACAGAGGGGGATGTTAGTGGTTGAGAGCTGCGAGGTGTTAATTCCTGTGTGAGTTGGGTGGAGGATGTAGGGGATGGTGGAGGGCTGCAAGGTGTGAAGATGTGAAGATTGTTGAAATATATTTGAAATGGATGAAAGGTTGAAATATATTTGGACTTAGTGGCTATTAATGAAGCACGACACATGGCTATTTTGCATAAATTGTTTTAATTTATGTCAAATTATATTGTATTTTTTATTGTTTTATGTAATGATGTTCTTTGTTATTTGTACTGTTTATTACTTCATGTGTAGCACTTTGACAAATGACATTTGTTTTTTTACTGTGCTGTTTGAAAACTTGATGCTTCAGGCAATGGCATGTTATATTTTCAATGCACACTTGTTAGTTTTTTTGTTTGTTTGTTTTTTATTTATTTATTTATTGGTATTTTGTTTGTTTTTGATGTTTTTGCAATAGCAAATCCTAACATTGGAGCCTTTTTATTTAAACAGCAAATTACTTTTGGGCTTGTCCCCAAGGACAAGTCAAGTCAGAATTAATTTCTTATATCTATAAACTTAGGTCATTCAAATAATTATTTGTACCAAACAAGATACTATTTATAACCTTCACACAAAATGTCAGCTATAAGGTTTTGAACTATCCCTTTTTAAAGATGTCAATAACTCCAGCTTTCTGTCAGGTTTGAATGAAAGGCAGCAGAATGCTCAGTGTGCTGAGCTCAACAGCACCAGGTGGCTGCAGTCCCGACAGCACAGAATCAGACTGCAGGTCCAGTACCTGCTGCTGACCCGTAGAAACCAGAACTGTGCTCAGAGGTTCAACCAGGCTTCTCTTACCCAGCAGTCATCTCACTTCAACGTTTCCAGTCCCACAAAAGTCATCATCCATGGCTACAGGTGAGCAGAAGACTCCTAAATGTCCTGAAAATTTATCTTTTAAAACCACTTTTTCAGTTTTGGGACAAAGTTTTGCATTTGTGATGCAGTTCTTATTTACTTAGGCTGCTACAGAATATCCAACTCTTTCACCGTTGGTCAAATTCTCACAGACATGGGACACTGACAACAAAACTGTCTTTGGTTTTAACTTGGTAGTCTTTTAAAATATGATGTTTACTCAAAACCAAAATTTAACTAAGATATAAAAAAACAGCACCAAAACTGAGCTGAGTCATTTTAGAAGGACTGGACTAAATGAAAATAGTGTACTTCAAAATACTGTTTCCAACCAACAAGACAATTTGTCTGCAAATCTTTGCAATCATCTCTCAGATTTTCTTTGATATTTTTATAAAGCGACTGATGGGAAAAATGTTCTGAAAGGCAGAAAGTCCAGTTTAAACGTCTACACAAGCACAGCTGTTTCATTACCAACCCCCAAAACATACAGAAATCTTTAGTTATTGAAATATTATTATTTTTGTTTCCTCTTGTTCAAATTACCACCAATATTTTTGTTTTGTAGATATATATTTTGGATAGAAAGGTGCTATATAAGTACAGTCCATTTAT